GGCTGAGAAATCGACAGTGAACGAAGCATTTCAAGTGGCGAAAATTGTCAAAAAGTTTTCTCCTTCACAACAGACTTCAAGATTTATGACCTGCATAAACATAAAGACAACGACAAAGAGATAAAACTTGAGGATTTGATCCTTTGTTTCAAATGGAAGAAGATAATCGAGGACATTGATAAACGCAAAAAGTCGCCTCATGGCATTTGATAGATTTAGGGGCTCATAAGATGGTTAATTTTTTCATTTTATTTTTTTTTTTATTATTTTGAACATGGATACAAGGACATTGTAATATGCTCCAACTCTAAGCATGATTGTCAATGGTAAGAGAAAATCCAAAGGGGTTTGGGATTCAGAAAATCCAAAGGGGTTTGGGACATTGTAATATGCTCCAACACAATTTACTTCTCATACTAGTGTGTATATTGCTACAAACAGAAAACTAAAAATACTGTTCTGCAACTCCACGTCAACCGAAGAGGACTACGGATGTAACATAAAGAACAAGATTCTGGAAATAATGCTCCTAAATCAACAAAAAACAATATCTTCAACAAATTTCAAACCAATTCAAGAGGTGTGGGCCAGGATCTGATTACCTCGATAAATGTCTAGAAGTTCGGGAACATCCTTCTTGTACTTCTCGATATATGTCTTCAAGAAAACCTTCTCGGACATAGGTAGCAAGGATGTGATAGCCACATTCTTCAGCCCCTTCTCATTCAAAACCTCAGCAACCGCCCACCTCGGCTTCATTCTCTTTTCGAGGCTGTACCCAAGAATCCAAGAGAAACGGGCCACGTCACCTGGTGCCCACCCTAATTTATCAACCAGAAAACCCATACACTCCAAAATCTTCTTCTCGGACAAGGCCACACAGAGCGGCTGAATCAGAAAGGCGGTCCTGATGTCGGATTCAGACATGCCGCACTTTCTATAAACCTCCACCTTGCGCTTAATTGCCGACTCGTCATAACCCACAAAAACCCGAATGACCTTCCCAAATGCATAATTGGACACGTCAAACCCCATTTCTATTGCTCGATCCACACACAAGGATAACTTCTCCTGAGGAATCATGAGCATTCTTGGCTCGTACGTGACCAGTGACACGAGAGATGGCCGAGGGACCCCGCGGGCTGCTAAAAACGAGAGGTTGGATGAGATGTCATCAGCCCGGCTCCAGCTGAAGAACTGGGGAGCCTGTATCAAGACTTGAACGGCCACCTTATCCGACCCGAACAGGTTTTTCAGGAAATCGAATAAGGGGATGATTGAGTTCTTCAGGCTGCTCTTTAAGATGGTAGGTTTCCGGGACAGCCTGCTGGCCAGGATGGGGAGGGGGATGCCAAATGAGGAGAAAAATTGGAGCTTGGGCAAAAGGGTTTTCTCTGGGCAGGCAGAGAGAACATTCGGCCACCGGGTGACCAGTGCAGACATGTCGGCAGCCGTGAATCCGTACTCTCTGAGGAGATTCAACACCGCGTCTGTTCTTTCAAGCGATTTCAGCTGGAGTTTACTGGAAGCACGGACGGCGACGTCTGGAGCCAACCCGCATGAGCTGATGAGGTAGGAGAGGGTAAGGGATTTCTCAGTGTCATTTTCGCGAACACCTTGCGGTGGTTTTCCGGTAGTGAACGGCCTGGAGAAG